GGGCCAGAAGTGTTCTGGATTTATTCCAGATCATTATTATTACACGGCCAGAAGAGGCGTGGATGTATTCCAAATCATTATTACAGGACCAGCAGAGGCGTAAATTTATTCAAAATAATTTTTTCTGAGCCCACAAGAAGGGTACATATATTTCAAATTTTTGTTTCTGTGGGCAGAAGAGGCCTTACGATTTATGGATTTTAAACCCCCTTTTAAGTCGTTGATTAGAAATATCTTTGAACTTTCATACAATGCTAATTTTCTCTTACTTAACACAAGTTTATATCTGTTTGTCAATATGGCATAAACCGTTAGAATTCCCTCTAACCATTTTTGCAAAATTTATAAAAATCGGTTAAGTAGTCGCTGAGTTATTTGCATTTGAATTGAACGATGTTCCGAAATATCCCTACTGCTCGGTGCTGGGCGCCTATTACCTGAAAATGAAAAACCACACAAAAATGCATTTTTTAAAAAGAGGCAAATTTGTCTTCATGATGCCCCCTGGTTTGAAAAAAGTGTAGCATACTTTTAGGTCAAAAATAGTCTGCAAAATCAGTTTTTGAAGACCAACTTTCGATGGGTATAGCTTTTCAAGGGACTATCGCATTTGAACAAAACGGGTGTCATATGAAAGAGTAAATAGTCTACTTTATTATGACCAGCAAAAAATATTATAATACGAATATCACTGAGGGAAATTATAGACTTTTTACACTCTCCGCTATTTGGATACCGAAGGTGTGCCTAAAACTTTCGAAGTAATGAAGTTTCGGGCATAACTTCTCAAAATAGGAATTATACAAAAAAGTGCACCTAAATCGGCATTAAAAATTATAAATTACAGCCAAGATTGATAGCCTTAGATGCCTTAATCGGCATTGTTACAAATGTGGGTTTGGATAATTTGAAATAAAATAATACACCGACGCCCAACATTTCAAAGTTTTGAAGGCTTTAAAAATCTATTTTGTTATTTTACGACATGGGTCCGACCACACACACAGTTGGCTATGGGCGAACCTCATTAGTTTTTCGTGTAAAGGTTGAAAATATCATTACCCCTTGAATGGCGCCCAATTTTGCCCTGATGATTTTACATTAAATTTTATTTAGATTTTACATTTTTAGATTTTACATTAAAATTCGCACTTCTCTTGTTTTTGAAAAAAAGAAACCTAATGGCGCCCAATGTTTTACCTTTGTCTAGGATATAGTTTTTAACAATTGAGGATGTTTTGAGAATGATTGGCACTTTAACGGTTCAATTTTTTCTGTTTCTAGAGTGAAGACAAATGTCGAACACTGGTAAATATTGAAATAATTCACAGATCCAATTTCGCAGAAGATTAGCAAAACATGTGCTCGGGCGGCATTTTATTTTGTCTCCATGACTTTGAAATGCTTAGAAAGCTTAACGTCTAGTATTTACACTTGAGCCTATCGAATTTGAACCGTTGGGCGCCAATCATTATTTTACAACTCTAAACAAGACATCCACGTTTGTCATGTAAAATCTTGGCCTCCCACGTATTATTGTGTGACATACGATTTTGTATTTTAAGAAATAAGAGCAAGTTTGTATATTGGCCAAATGTAAAACGTTGAGCGCCATCCGTTTTTTTTTTATTACAAAAAAAGTAGTAAAAAGTCATCTTAAGTAGCAAAATACTGGGGATACGTCATCGTATCCACTGGTCAACTTTGTAACGTTGGGCGTCATTTATTTTGGAATGGCGATATATTAGCTTATCCCGTGACCAACTGTGATTTGGAAGGACCAAGACCGGGCGAACGTTAAGCGCCATTTGATTTTTCTTTTTCTTACAACTTGTAGAGTAAAATTTATTTTACCTTAAGCAAATATATTCCCTGAAAAGTTGTTTGTGGAATTTAAAATGAAGGAGTTAAATTATGTGTCTATCCCGTGGCAAACTGTGAATTGGAAACCCAAATCTGGACAATTTTGAAACGTTGGGCGCCATAGATTACAATCTATTCCAAAAATTCTAAACGTTGGGCGCCATCCTGGTTTACCATTGCGTGAAAGGGAAATGATGAATACGTTATTTATAAGACCAATGGCATTTTAAGTAAGTAACTCTATACCTTGGTCAACTTTGAAAGGTTGGGCGCCATTCATTTCTGAACAAGGCGTACATAACCGCTACACATTAACATTGAAAAGCCACAATCATAATTTTGAAAGATTGGGCGCCATTGGATGTTGAAAGATGTGTTGGTATTGGGCGCCATGATTTTTTTTTATTAAAAAAAAGAAAATTTTAATCTGTAGAATAAAATCTACAATACCTTAAGTAGTATAAACTAATAACTCCACGGTCAGCTTTGTATGGTTGGGCGCCATTCAAAACAAGGAGTAATAATATCTACTATTAGCTTATCCTGTGGGCAATTCTGAATTATAAGGCCAAAACATGAATACCTTCGATACGTTGGGCGCCATTATTTTATAAAATTGCCAACAAGAGATTTAATATGTTCAATTGGTATAGGTGTTGGGAGCCACGTTTTTATACCCTTCACCACACTGTGGTCCAGGGTATTGTGCCTTTGTGCACATGTGTGTAACAGGCAAAAGGAATCGAGATAGACACATGGCTCCTTTTGAGAATATGCATAGAATCACTTTCTGAGTCGATTTATGCATGTCCGTCCGTCCGTCTGTTGATGTTAAATTGTAAACAACGTACAGGTCGCATTTATGATCCGATTTGGATGAAATTTTGCACAGATCACTTATTTGGCCCAAGGACGAACCCTATTGAAATTGGGGAAAATCGGTTCAGATTTAGATATAGCTCCCATATATAGTTTCGGTCGATTTTAGGTAAATGGTGCACCAAAATCCCTGAAAATGATTTGATTTGCACGATTTTTTGCATAGCGTATTGAATTAAGTCTAGAATGACTTGTGCCATGTTTCGTGAAAATCGGTTCAGATTTAGATATAGTTCCCATATATAATATCGCCCAATTTTAGGTAAATTTTGTACATATCTTTCGATTTGCACGAAATTTGGTACAGCCTATTGAATTAGGTCTAGAATGATGGGTGCTAAGTTTCGTGAAAATCGGTTCAGATTTAGATATAGCTCCCATATATAGTATCGCCCGATTTTAGGTAAATGGTGCACCAAAGTCCCTGAAAATCATTTGATTTGCACGAATTTTTGCATAGTGTATTGAATTAAGTCTAGAATGACTTGTGTCAGGTTTCGTGAAAATCGGTTCAGATTTATATATAATATCACCCGATTTTAGGTAAATGGTGTACCAAAGTCCCTACATATCTTTCGATTTGTACGAAATTTGGTACAGCCTACTGAATTAGGTTTAGAATGATGTGTGCTAAGTTTCGTGAAAATCGGTTAAGATTTAGATATAGCTCCCTGTTCAAAATGCTTTGAACAGAAATATAATTTATCAGCTCTTCTTGCCAGTCGTCAGCATGTTCAAAATATTTTGAACAGAATTTTGTGTTACAGAAGATTTGATCGTTGGAGTGTTTTAAGATAAGAGTCTAAAATCCCACACGGAACGCTGATAAGACTGTTGTTGTTGGTGGTGAGATTTTATGACGCACACGATGGGAAAACTCTCCACAGATCAAATTCTATTATTAGAACAAATAGTTTACTGATAAGTATTTTGTGTTTGAGATTAGGCTAAGAAAGAGTTGTTTAAGTAGAACCTAAGGATAAATATTTTAAAATAAAATTAGTGCCTTACAACCACTCACATAGTACGGTCGGGAGCACCGTGTCGTGTCTTAATTTATTATACACTCCCATATATAGTATCGCCCGGTGTACCAAAGTCTCTGCAAATCTTTTGATTGGCAAGTCGGCCCAGTCCGACATTACTACTTTCCTTACTGGTTTTATATTCCAAAAAACAGGGAATTTCTATCTGTTGGGGCCAAAACCTGAATATCTTCGAAACGTTGGGCGCCATTATTTTTTGAAATTCCGAACAAGAAATCTAATATGTTCAATTGGTGTTGGTGCTGGGCGCCAACCATTACCATTTCGCCGTAGAACGACGGCCACGGCAGTGGCTTTATGAACTCGATGATCCATGTTTCTTTGGGCCTGAAATGAAAAATTCGTTTCGCAAAATTTGCTCTCAATGGGACACAAAATAGTGTATGTTTGTTTTTTGTATATATCAATATGTATGTATAATTATTATTGCACATTAAATCGATTAATTTTACCAGTATTTTTTTTATCATTCTTCTTTGTTCTCGATTTTCCTCATTTTCATGTTATAATTTGGTCTATTACCGTACTATAAGAATCTACTATTTTTTATTACGATAACAATTTTTCCTTTATGATATCGAAGAAAATAGTAAAATCTGGTAGATTCTTGCAGTACGGGAACAGACCAATTATTTACGATACAAAAAATGAATTTTAATTATAGAAATTATGTACGGATTTCCTTTTCTCTTTTTTTTTTGTAAGTTATAAGTGTGAATGTAGCTGTTGTTGTAAGCAAATTGTTGTTTTTGTAATATTTATATTTTGAATGTATGTTAGTTGTTGTAGAATGCTCGTTTTGGAAATTACAATAAATTTTGTTTTTTTATTTTTTACATTATTTTACTTTTGGGACATGGGTGACAAGGACTTAAGTGGGTTTTTGTCTCTGTTACTTTACTTTAAAAATTTACAACAACAAAATATTGTTGTTGTTTTTTATGTAATTTACTAGTATTTTCAATTATTTTTTTGTTCTAGTTTTTTGTTTTTTATAAACTAATCTTAGAATGTTTTTTTTTTCATTTGTATAACCTAGGGCAAAGTTTTTGGTATTTCTTTTTTTTTAATTTTCCCGCGGAAATGATAAAGGGTTCCGTGTTCTACAACCTAATTTAGTTTTTTTCTGTTAGTTTTTATTTTCAATTTTTGGTATTTCTCTTTTACCAAGAGAACAGAGGGAGGTTTTGAGGTGGAGCAGCCACCCCAAATTTATTTTAAGCGTTGTGTTACATTGGCCAAGGCCACAGCAAATGCCTGTAATGCCGAAAATGGATATTGAAAATCCAAGGTATAGGCATTACCATCAATGCGTCCAAATTGCATTACCTTCAAGTGAGAGAGAGAGAAATGTTATTGACAATTTTTAAGAGAAATATATGCCGAAAACTTACCTGTTTTCCTCGAAATTCTATTTGAAAATTCTTCGCCGATTCCTGTGTCACACGTCCTCCGAAATCCAATTGATAAACCTGACTCATTTCGTTCCACATCGGTGCCTTGTTGTGCATTACAAATTCCCGGCGCACTGGAGCTGGATTATTACACGTTGAGGAGCCATTCGGTTCAATACGACCACGTTTTAACTGAAAGTATATATTTGAAGAATATTATATAGTATAAGGATATACCAATACTGGAAATTCATTAAAAAGGTAATGTAATATCGTTTGGCCAACAACTGGCCAACTGTGAATTGAAAGACCACCAACCACAACTTTAAAACGTTGGGCGCCATGCTTTTTGTATTGAAAAATTGATCCCTTGGTCAACCTTGTAAGGTTCATTTAAAAACAACTTATCCATTGGCCAAATGCGAATTGAAAGGCCACAACCTGGACAACTTTGAAACGTTGGGCGCCATTGAATTTTGTAAGGTAAGTTGTTGTAGGGCGCCATAATTTGTTTAATACCAAAAAGTCAGGGAAATTCAATCTGTAGACTAGAATCTACGCTACATTAAGTAGTAATAGCTATCAATCTATCCCCTCACCAAATTTAGTAGGTTGGACGCCATTTATTTAAAAACAAGGAGTAATATTATCTACTATTATTAAAAGGCCACAACATGGGCAACATTGAAACGTTGGGCGCCATTGGATTTTGGAATACTAATCTTTTATTAAATTAAGGTTTTGTGGTTAAAAACTGGAGGGTATAAGAGGAATGCTCTATCTCGGATTGAACAACCATAGTGACATAACCATTATGAGGCTTGACAGAGGACAACGGAGATAATTACTTATGGTCTTTGGCTATCTGTCGTATGAGGCATTGGGTATTGAAGTCCGCCAGATGTGAGTTGTTGTTGGGCGCCATTTGGGGGTTTTTATTCCAAGAACAGTAAATCTAATCTCTAGAGTATAATTTACTTTACCTAAAGTAGCATAAGCAAATAAATCTATCCCCTGAACGGTTGAGCGCCATTCATTTGTGAAAATTTAAACATGGTAATATTATAAATATCCTGTACACACCCGCAGAGATATTTGAATACCCCGTGACCAGCTGTGAATTGGAAGGCGAAAACTTGAAAATTTTGATTCATTGCCTGGCTTCAGTAGCGGGACCACCCTGCCCATTTTCCACGCATCGAAAACTATTAGGTGGCTAACGACATATTCAGGATTTTGGTAAGGTACTCCATTCCTGGCTTATCAAGTTGCTTCAAAATTACCATAGAGATTTCATCAGTACCAAACGCCTTAGATGATTTTGTGCCTCTAAAGGCATTCGCAACATCCTCCAACGTAAATTGAAGTGGTTCCTCCTCCACTTGAAGATATCGTATACGGCGCAATACTCTTCTTGTCGCACTCCGAGAGTGCTCAGCAAAATGCCGGTTAAAAAAACACGCGCACATCTTCGGATCTGTCACCTTAATGCCGTTATACGATATATACACCCGATCATCCTTCTTTCCTGAATTCGAGACCGTTACCCACAATTTATTAACTCCGGTACTGATGTTACACCACTTCAGATGTTCGAGCCATTCGCCAATCCCACAGCCTATGCTGGAAAGATGGGTCTCAATGAGCCGAAATTCCTTTCTGCTACCCGAGCATCAGCAATATTGGACAGTTCTCTGAAGCGACGATTGGTGAAATTTCTGAACTCTAGTCAATTGGCTTTCCCATGGTAAGGAAAGTAAGGTTTCGAATATGATAATAGTGAGGTGATCTGACCCCAAAGAAATGACGGGTTTCCAGGCACGTCATTCGTCAGACCTAGAGACATGATTTCCCCTTATCCTGGTGGATATGTCCTCATTAACCGTGCACAACGTTGAGCTACATAAATTTTCCCTTTCCATCGCATATAAAGTGTTATCCAACGACTGAAGCCAATGGTCAATGACATTTTTGGACCATATCAATGCGGCTTCAGGCCTGGCAAGTTCACCATTGACCAGATGTTCACTCTTTTGGAAGAGATCCACGAAAAAGACATCGAAACGTTTCACCTATTCGTCGACTGTTTAGAGCCATGTCTGCGTTCGGAATTCCTGCAAAACTAATACGGCTATGCAGGATAACTTTAACTGGCACAAGGTCAGCAGTTAAAGTCGGAAAGGACCTCGGAGTCCCTTAATACCGAACGAGAATTCAGACAATGTGGTCGTTTATCGTGTGAACTTTTTAACATCCTGCTGGAAAAGTTTGAAGAGAAATGGCACCAAACTCGCCTACCCCCATGGGTCGAACATTGAGAGCGGTAACAGCCACTTTTGAACAAATTTAGAAGCAGTCTACCAAAGTGGGTCTGACAGTAAATGGCGAGACGACAAAGCTGATGGTATCAACGCGCAAGGCGTCCAGTAGATTCAGACTAACAGTGGAACTTGAGGTCTGCAGCGTAGGTCTAGATGTCTTCGAGGTAGTCAAACATTTTATATAGCTTGGTACCGCCATAAATAAAACTAATGACATCAGTTTCGAAATTCGGAGGAGAATAGTGTTGGCCAACAGTAAGTAAGCAATTCAGAAACAAGGCCACCTCTTGCCAGACCAAACTCACACGCTACAAGACGCTGATATTATCCGTGCTGTTGAATAATTCATAAGCATGGGTACTTGCGCAAACAGATGAGACAGTTCTTGGAGTGTTTGAGAGAAAAATTCTCCCCGAGAACAGTGGGCCGATCTGAGTAGAATGACCCATGAATTGTACCATATATTCTCGGACATAGGAATTGTAAGACGTATCGAGCTGCAGCAAGGATGGTGCGGAAATTTCTAAATCGCTTCAAAATTGTTTGAACCGATATTTCTATAAGGCATCCAATTTAGGTCGGTAATACTACCCAATGTTAATATATTTTTATATCCCATCAACTTACCTTTTGCCTCAGTTGGGCCTTTTGGAACGTCTCCAAATCTCGATATTGTTTACTACAACCATTTGCATTGGCGTTCTCTTCACCCGAACCATTACCACCGTTCGCCTCATCATCCGAACTATCAATGATATTTTGTTTCTTTCTCTGACGCCGATTCAAAAGCGGGGAATTCAGAATATTTCGTATCGGGGAACTACTCTGGTAGCGTTTATTCTTTTTACTGGCAGCCGGTGAGGCTGGCGAGCTACGTGGCAGGCGATGTGGCGTTGCAGGTGGTGTCAAATGTTCATCCAAATCTCTTAGTCTACTAATGATATTCTCTAGTGTTGTAAGGGCCTGGAAGAACAAAAAAAAGTATATTGAATTCGAAGTGTTGGAATATTAGGAATGAGGTTCCACCTTACCTGAGTGTGTAATGAAACAGAAGCTCTAGATTCTACAGGCGTTGCTTCAATGGTATCACCACCATTTCGATTTTCCACCGCTCTCTGTTGTTCTCCATTCGCTGCAGCTTGCATCGCCTGCGAGTTGGGCGCCGCCGCTTGCTTGGCATCTTTACGCCTCCATCGACCCTCGGTTAATTGTTTAACTAAACTGAAACCATTCTCATTTTTTCTAGCTAAGGTGGGTGACGACGTTGTGTCACCATTATTCCGAGTACCAAATCGATGTTTGCGTGTAAACAATGGACTATCTGTAAAACTGGTGATAACATCGATTCGACGTTTCGGCAAGCTTTCCGATTTATGACTATGACTATTTTCTTGTTCTTTGGACGGTTCACGTGTTGCGGGTATATCGAGATCAGCTCTAATGATATCATCTGTGGTAATTATTGCACTTTTCATAGACGACGCCGCAGGGGGCAGGCAATGTTTACACTCATCGGTACCACTTCCGCTGGTGGCTGTACATGAGGAACATGTGGATTTCTTTTTAGAGGCACCAATTGCTTGAGTTTCTTCATGCAACTTCTCCAATTGTTTGCTATTCAATTTGGCCTGAGTCGAAAGTAAATCGCAGGAATCTAAACTTTTCGATTTGCCAGTCATTACCAAGCGGGGTTTACTAGAATCCTGGAAAAAAATAGAAAACGAATGGGTTAATAGTTTGTGGAGGCGTGGTCTATCAGCTGGTCTATAAAGACCACCATCAGCTGGTCTATAAAGACCACCATCAGCTGTTCAACAAACCACTATCAGCTGGTCAAGAAAGAACATCATCAGCTGGTCTATAAAGACCACCATCAGCTGGTCTATAAAGACCACCATCAGCTGGTCTATAAAGACCACCATCAGCTGGTCTATAAAGACCACCATCAGCTGGTCTATAAAGACCACCATCAGCTGGTCTATAGAGACCACCATCAGCTGTTCAACAAACCACTATCAGCTGGTCAAGAAAAACCACCATCAGCTGGTCTATAAAGGCCACCATCAGCTGGTCTATAAAGACCACCATCAGCTGGTCTATAAAGGCCACCATCAGCTGGTCTATAAAGACCACCATCAGCTGGTCTATAAAGACCACCATCAGCTGGTCTATAAAGACCACCATCAGCTGGTCTATAGAGACCACCATCAGCTGTTCAACAAACCACTATCAGCTGGTCAAGAAAGACCACCATCAGTTGGTCTATAAAGACCACCATCAGCTGGTCTATAAAGACCACCATCAGCTGGTCTATAAAGACCACCATCAGCTGGTCTATAAAGACCACCATCAGCTGGTCTATAAAGACCACCATCAGCTGGTCTATAAAGACCACCATCAGCTGGTCTATAAAGACCACCATCAGCTGGTCTATAAAGACCACCATCAGCTGGTCTATAAAGACCACCATCAGCTGGTCTATAAAGACCACCATCAGCTGGTCTATAAAGGCCACCATCAGCTGGTCTATAAAGACCACCATCAGCTGGTCACCATCAGCTGGTCTAAAGACCACCATCAGCTGTTCAACAAACCACTATCAGCTGGTCAAGAAAGACCACCATCAGCTGGTCTATAAAGGCCACCATCAGCTGGTCTATAAAGACCACCATCAGCTGGTCTATAAAGACCACCATCAGCTGGTCAGACCACCATCAGCTGTCTATCAAACCACCATCAGCTGGACCACCATCAGCTGGTCTATAAAGACCACCATCAGCTGGTCTATAAAGACCACCATCAGCTGGTCTATAAAGACCACCATCAGCTGGTCAGACCACCATCAGCTGGTCTATAAAGACCACCATCAGCTGGTCTATAAAGACCACCATCAGCTGGTCTATAAAGACCACCATCAGCTGGTCTATAAAGACCACCATCAGCTGGTCTATAAAGACCACCACCAGACCACCAGCCCATCAGCTGGTCTATAAAGACCACCATCAGCCTATAAAGACCATCAGCTGGTCTATAAAGACCACCATCAGCTGGTCTATAAAGACCACCATCAGCTGGTCTATAAAGACCACCATCAGCTGGTCTATAAAGACCACCATCAGCTGGTCTATAAAGACCACCATCAGCTGGTCAAGAAACCTTAAATAAATTAAAAATTTCTTCTAAGCTTCCTCCACTTACCCCTTGATGCATACGCTTTTTTCGACACTTCCTATTGTCAACCAAAATAAGTCTTTTATTAGGAGCTTCACGACGCAAAGCGGTCAGAGCTTCATCGGATGGTGTTATGGCCACCGAATCCAAATAGCCAACCGAACAGCTGCGTGTTATGACATCTGTGGAAACGGGTGCAATAGATACAACAGTGGGTGTACGTTTCATGGGATTTGAAACTTCCGTAGGAGGTGGAGGAGGAACAGCTGCCACAACCGCGTTTACGGTATGCTGATGAGCTATTCCTGCTGCGGACGACGACGCCTGCATTTCATCATCAATGTATTGCAGTTTTTTCGAAGTTGATGGTGCCGCTGCCATGGCTTTCACTTTGGCCGCCGCATCCATCCGTTCCAAATTCAAACTTAAATTTAGAGGCACTGGATTAACATGACTATTGGTGGAGCGTATCGATGATTCCGTTAATAAAGCATTCTTAACCTGGACGACATTGTTCGTGTAATCGGCATTACTGGAATAGGACATTAAGGTGGTCTGGCCATTTGCCGATACGGCTGGACGTTCAAATATAATATCAGTGGGTGCAACAGCATTTTTGGGTGATTGTAAAGTGGGGACGGATCCATCGCTGAACAGCGGCGATATGGCATGGCGTGACTGACCACACGAACTGCCATTGGAACGGCCAAATGTCGATGTAATTGTTTTTGGACGTATAATTTTGTGATTGCTCGGTGAGGAGGATGACGATGTGTTCGCAGCAGCTGCCGCCATTGATGTTGAGGGGCAGGGTGCAGCTTCGGGGGATTCACTTGTTGAGTCGTCATCGTAAGACTCGGCTCGAGCCAATGGACTACGGCCCAAGGCACCGGGAATTTGATTACCATTAGATGTGGACGATGATGAGGAATTGCGATGACGAGCCAACAAGCGATTGGGTCTGGGCGACATTGGAGCAATGGGCGGTGCAATTTCGTTGAGTTTTCTGGCAGCTAAACTACCTACGCCGCCGCCACCACCACCACCGCTATCATTTGGTAATGCCACTTCGGCCACTGCAGCAGATGATTGAACATGATTTTCATCTTCATCTTCGGAAAAAAGATTCGGATTGAAACTCGGGTCGGGACCAAGAGGAAAATCATCTCTCAACTCTGTAATGACGAGGGTCATTTGACGTGGTTGCAAGTGAAGCAGGGATGTTTTATAGGTGACTTGACCCAAATTGGCAGGGACGGTTTTAGCAAGGCCATGCATTTTGAATTTGGTACCCCAGATATTGGAGGTTACCTCAACCAGTTTTACTTCCTGCAAAAGAAGAAGAGAAAAGTAGAGGAAATTTAAAAGGAAAACCAACAAAAAAATGTCCTGAATTAATACCTCTGGTAAAGTATCCAAATAGGCCAGTTCATCCAGGGCATCACTGCCATCATTGCTGGTCGTTGTCAGGGTGTTGCGATCATGACCATTGCCATGACGTTTCTGCTGACGTATCCTCCGCTTACGTGGTGTGTGGGGTGAACCCCGTAACCTGCCATCATCATATTCACTATCTGAAGAATCGGTGCGACCATTGGCGGTAGTACTAGTCGATTGACTGGATGATGAGGAACTCTTGGAACCCGGTGAATGTTGAAAGAAGTGCGAAGTTTCTGTGGAACCATAAGGTAAATTAATAAGACATTCTAAAATTGTAATGACCACCTTCTTACCATTCACTTGCGGATCAAATATAACAAATTCCGGGCGTATTTTAGAGGTACGTTTACCCTTCAGCAGCGGTACCAGACCACCCAAATATTCCAAATATAAAGTGTAACATGTACCGGAACTAATATTCGAGTCATCATCATGCCTTATCATTGTACAGTGTAAACGGGTCGAACATAAGGGTGGACGCGATACGAATTCTCTTAGAGACTTTAAATCAGGTACACAACACTGGAAGAAGGAAATCAAAGATTAATTTCGAAATAGATTTTATATGGGAACTTCGAAACATACTCGAATTGTTTGAGCAAAAAGATTGCCGATCAGAGTTTTAATCCGTGACGGCAAAGGCAACAATGGCAATAAAGTTTCCGAACCAATACTGGCCTGTATTTGCAGGCGACACAGCAGCTGCAGTGAGGCCACCCGCCTCGACACCCACGCAATATGGACCTGGGTTCCCGTAGCAATGAACAGACGTTTATCATTGTGGCCCCATGTTAAAGCTGATACCGGTGCATTGGAATTCGGAATTTGGGCTTGATAGAGTAGGGCACCAGTCTCCGTATAGAATTTCAATAGGTTATTATAAACCACTCCTCCGGTGCATCCTCCTCCACCACCGGCACCATTTGTTGAATTTTCATTTTCCGATGTGGCTTTTTGTGAGGTCCCGGCGACGGCCAGCAGTTCTCGTGAATTACTCCATTCCATAACCATGCCCAGTGCACCATCAAGACCCGTATTGATATGTGAGGGTGAAACATCATCGAAAGATTTGAGGAGGTAAATAAAACCGTTTTGAAAACTAACCGCTAAGACAAATGACCGTTTGGCTGGAATGGAAAGAGAGGAAGAAAACAAAAAATAAAAATGTATTAGAAGATGGGGTAATGGGAGAATATGGAATGCAAAGGAGGTTCACACGACGAATTTCAATCAATGACAAAAAGTCTTTATAGACGAGCTGAAGGAAGTCTTTATAGGCGATCGTATGGGAATCTTTATAGTTGAAGAGAGTCTTTAAATACCAGATGATGGTGGTCTCTATAGACCAGCTGATGGTGGTCTCTATAGACCAGCTGATGGTGGTCTCTATAGACCAGCTGATGGTGGTCTCTATAGACCAGCTGATGGTGGTCTCTATAGACCAGCTGATGGTGGTCTCTATAGACCAGCTGATGGTGGTCTCTATAGATCAGCTGATGGTGGTCTCTATAGACCAGCTGATGGTGGTCTCTATAGACCAGCTGTTGGTGGTCGCTATAGACCAGCTGATGGTGGTCTTTGTACACCAGTTGATGGTGGTCGCTATAGACCAGCTTATGGTGGTCTTTGTACACCAGCTGATGGTGGTCGCTATAGACCAGCTTATGATGGTCTTTACGGAGCATTAGCTATGATGGAGCTTAAAAATTATTCTTTAAAAATCCACGCATATAGCTATGACGGAGCTTGAAAAAATATTCTGAAACCGGGAGATGGTCTTTAGTAAAATGTTCCTCTTTATACACACCTGCATTCGTAACACCCGGCTCGGATTCTTCACCTTCTTCCATTTTGAATTTTTCACACGACCATGACATTGATGTTATCCCAACATCATTGCACAGCTGGACCTGTGACACCATAGCACCGTGGACATCCATAACAATAACCTGTCCCTGAGTTGTACCAAAGTAAACCTGTTGATCATCGGGTGTCCATATACCACAGGTAATGGTCGATTCTAAATTCAACATCGAAGACCAATAACGTTGACCCGCCACTGAACCGACCAATACAAAACCATCCTGATAGCAGATCAATGCCATACGACCATCGTGTGACCATGAGAAATGCGTGACTGGGGTATTGCGATCATTGATCAGCTCTATCGACCAGCGACCTTCGTATTTAATCCATACAAATATAATGCCGGAACTATCACAGGATGCCAATTTTTGATATGGTTCATTCCATTTGACTAGTATAACCTGAAAGAGGAGGATGAGGAAAGGTGTTAATTGATTCAAAGTTCGGAAATAAAATTCAGGTGGCTACTCACATCTGATCGGTGTCCTCTTAAATTGTAATTTGTACGTAAAGGATATTCGACATTTTTGCGACAATGTGATGTGGTGAATGTCACCCCGACAATGCCACGAACATTACCGGTGGCCAGCCAGCCTTCTTGATAGTAATTGGTGCGATTTAATTTCCAGCCATCGTCCTGAAAAATAGGAAGTGGTACATCATTAGTTTTATGAATTATGAAGAAGGGGTTTCTAAGAATATTTTTTTAAGGTCTAATCTAGTTTTAGGCTTGGATTTTTAAAGAATATTTTTTTCGAGGGTCTGCCTAGTTTTAGGCGTGGATTTTTAAAGAATATTTTTTCAAGGTCTAGCCTAGTTTTAGGCTTGGATTTTTAAAGAATATTTTTTCAAGGTCTCAGCCTAGTTTAAGGCGTGGATTTTTAAAGAATATTTTTTCAAGGTCTCAGCCTAGTTTAAGGCGTGGATTTTTAAAGAATATTTTTTCAAGGTCTCAGCCTAGTTTAAGGCGTGGATTTTTAAAGAATATTTTTTCAAGGTCTCAGCCTAGTTTAAGGCGTGGATTTTTAAAGAATATTTTTTCAAGGTCTCAGCCTAGTTTAAGGCGTGGATTTTTAAAGAATATTTTTTCAAGGTCTCAGCCTAGTTTAAGGCGTGGATTTTTAAAGAATATTTTTTCAAGGTCTCAGCCTAGTTTAAGGCGTGGATTTTTAAAGAATATTTTTTCAAGGTCTCAGCCTAGTTTAAGGCGTGGATTTTTAAAGAATATTTTTTCAAGGTCTCAGCCTAGTTTAAGGCGTGGATTTTTAAAGAATATTTTTTCAAGGTCTCAGCCTAGTTTAAGGCGTGGATTTTTAAAGAATATTTTTTCAAGGTCTCAGCCTAGTTTAAGGCGTGGATTTTTAAAGAATATTTTTTCAAGGTCTCAGCCTAGTTTAAGGCGTGGATTTTTAAAGAATATTTTTTCAAGGTCTCAGCCTAGTTTAAGGCGTGGATTTTTAAAGAATATTTTTTCAAGGTCTCAGCCTAGTTTAAGGCGTGGATTTTTAAAGAATATTTTTTCAAGGTCTCAGCCTAGTTTAAGGCGTGGATTTTTAAAGAATATTTTTTCAAGGTCTCAGCCTAGTTTAAGGCGTGGATTTTTAAAGAATATTTTTTCAACGTTCTGCCTAGTTTTAGGCGTGGATTTTTAAAGAATATTTTTTCAAAGGCCAGCCTACATTTAGGCGTGGATTTTTAAAGAATATTTTTTCAAAGGCCAGCCTACATTTAGGCGTGGATTTTTAAAGAATATTTTTTCAAAGGCCAGCCTACATTTAGGCGTGGATTTTTAAAGAATATTTTTTCAAAGGCCAGCCTACATTTAGGCGTGGATTTTAAAAGATTTTCAAAGAACATTTTTTCAAAGGTCTAGCCTAGTTTTAGGCATGGATTTTTAAAGATTTTTAAAGAATATTTTTTTAAGGTCTAGACTAGTTTTAGGCATGGATTTTTAAAGAATATTTTTTTAAGGTCCAGCCTAGCCGTAGGCCTGGATTTTTAAAGGTTATTTTTTCAAAGCCTAGCCTAGTTTTAGGCGTGGATTTTTAAAGAATATTTTTTCAAGGTCTAGCCTAGTTTTAGGCGTGGATTTTTAAAGAATATTTTTTCAAGGTCTAGCCTAGTTTTAGGCGTGGATTTTTAAAGAATATTTTTTCAAGGTCTAGCCTAGTTTTAGGCGTGGATTTTTAAAGATTATTTTTTCAAGAACTAGCCTAGCTTCAGTTGGTCTTTAAATACTAACTTCAGCTGGCCAATAAATACCACCTTCAGAGGCTCTCTCCAGCTATAAAAACCCCCGTTTAGCAAAAGACTACCTTCCGCTCGCCTATAAAGACATCCTGCAGTTGATTTGACCCCTTGAATTTTCTATCCATTTTAAAAACGTTTTTCTTAGTCTGCTGTCCTCCCTAAATCGCCAGTCATTATGGGTATTTCTGTAAAATAATTTCCTTCAATTGTCCAACCGCTGAAATGATTTTGTCGCCGCTGCCACTAAAAACGATTAAACCACTTCCGATTACAATAATAAAAAATTACAAAAAAGCAACAACCAGTGAACAAAAGAGAACCCTTTAGCCGGGCAATTCGGAAAAAATAGCCAGCAATCTGTAAACACACCCAACAACCAGCCATTGAAGCCACCACAACAACAACAACAAGAGCAGCCAACAAAGCCCGAATATGTTTTCTGTAACAAACTGTGAATTGCCTTTGACAGTCTAAATGGCAGGTTGGGTTGAATGGCTGGCTGCCTGGTTGAATGGCAGGCAAATGGCTTTAATAATTTGTTAGCCGGCTATCAAACAAATTTATGCCCTGCACCATAGAAACCATAGGCGGGAGAAAGAGAGAAGAGACACCGACCATTGGCCAGAACATTTATGTGGGTGCATTCCAAAAGGGTTATGTAGTTTTTTTTTGGTTTGCGGATAATAGACATTTGTAGGCCTTATGCTAGTCTGCTCTATTGCCCTGGTGTTATGTAAATCAGTAACCGGTCCACATGAAATTGACAAAATGAATGGCGGCTAAGTGGTTGAGAAAGGACACCACCATCACCAACTAGCAATTGCATGGGAATCGCCGTCATCATCGCACACACACACATTGATGGGCCCACATTTCTATTCGCAATCTATTTTGTTGGGCATTTTGCCAACAACAACAACAAAAATATTCAAAAATATATTTTCCATTATAACAGCCAAATTTAAATGAATGTTTCAATTTATTTACTTTATTTTATTATTTGGTCGTCGGTGATGTATTCGAATTCAATGTCATGTTCGAATTGTGTTGTCCCATTTTGGAAAAGGCAGGTTGAGATTAGGGAGATTCCAACACCTCGATTACGAATATTATATGCATGAATTTGGCTGCGGATTTATGGTTAACAGGAGAATAAAAGACCTTGTCTCCACATTCACTACAGTAGATGAGTGAATTGCTATAATCCGTATAAAAGCGAAGTTCTTCTACATCAGTCTCATTTGCGCCCATGCTCCGACGGAAGACAAAGATGAACAGACCAAAGACATTTTTACGAGCGCCTAGAAACTGCATATGATTGCTGCCCTGGCCATGACATTAAAATTCTGCTAAGAGATTTTAATGCAAAAATCGGACGGAAAAATATCTTTGGCCCTACCGTCGGAAAATTCAGCCTTCATGAAGAAACATCCGACAACGGCATTAGGTTGATTGACTTCGCGGCAGCAAAAAACATGGTAGTTAGCAGCACCAGATTCAAGCATATCGATATACACAAGGCCACCTGGATTTCTTCCGATCGAACAACTAGAAATCAAATCGATTATGTTGTGATAGACGGAAGGCATTCATCCAGTGTATTAGACGTTCGATCGATCCGAGGAGCGAATATCGATTCGCACCATTACCTTGTAGTAGCCTAGGTACGCACCTGTCTTAATGTAGCAGCAAAGGTGCGATATAACACAACACAGAAACTCGACGTCGAAAATCTGCAAACACAATAGGTAGTCGAGGCCTACTCCGCTCAACTTACCCAACTGCTTGACGAAAGCATCCCTTGTCCCGATAATAATATAGAAGCACAGTGGCAAAGAATTTCCCACTCCCTATATACTGCAGCAAAAACAACACTTGGGTACCAAAGACCAACATCAAGAAATCCGTGGTACGATCAGGAGTGTCGTAATACTACTGATGTGAACAACGCAGGGTATAGGGCCACCCTGCGGACAGTAGCAACACGTAATGTGATGGAGAATTATCGGGAGAAAAAGGAGAGAGGAGAAACGTATTTTCAGAAAAAAGAAGAAAGAGCAAGAAAAACGTGAGCGTGAGCAAATCGAGATGTACAGGAGTCAGAATGAAGTCCGAAAATTGTACCAACGGGTAAAACACCAAAGCGAAAGCCTTGGTGCAGGCACATCCTCCTGTAGAGATGAAGAAGGTAACCTGGTGACAGATACAGATAGTGTGTTGAGGATCTGGAAGGAACATTTTGAAATGTTTCTGGTATAAAATAGTAGCGGTGAAGAGGATATCCCAGAACCAATAATAGATGAAGGTATACCCTCTATACCATCTAGCCAAGATGGGTTCAGAATAGCAATTAATCCGCTCAAGAATAATAAAGCAGGAGGAGCCGATGGGTTACCAGCCGAACTATTCAAGACTGGTGGTCAGATGCTGGTAAGGAGCATGTACCAGCTATTTACTACAATTTGGCTAAAGGAATGCATGGCCAATGATTAGAACCTCAGCATCCTGTGTCCCGTGCACAAAAAAGGAGACAAGACGATATGTGCCAACTATAGAGGAATTAGCCTTCTTCCCATCGCATATAAAGAGCTATCCAGTGTGCTGTGTGAACGATTGAAGCCAATGGTCAATGACATTATTGGGCCATACCAAATGCAGCTTCAGAACTTGCAAATTCACCATTGACCAGATTTTCACTCTGCGTCAAATTCTGGAAAAGACCCACGAAAAACACATCGACACGAGCCGCATTCCACAGCCCCATCCGTTCAGAGGTGTTTAAAGCCACGTCTGCATTCGACATTCCTGCGAAATTAATACGGTTATGCAGAATAACTTTAACTGGCACAAGGTCAACGCTTAAAATCGGAAAGGACCTCTCGGAGACCTTCAATACCGAACGAGGATTAAGACAAGATGACAGTTTGTCGTGTGATCTCTATAACATCCTTCTGGAAAAGGTGATACGAGAGGCAAAGGTGACAGGACTGACACTCTGTACACCAAAATTCATATGTTACTCGCCTATGTCGACGACATCGACATAATGGGTCGAACATTGCGAACGGTAACGGCCACCTTTGAACAAATTGAGAAGGAGTCTGCCAAAGTGAGACTGGCAGTAAGTGGCGAGCAAACCAAGCTGATGGTATCAACGAGCAAGACGTCCAGTAGACTCAGATAAGCTGTGGAATTTGAAAACTACAGCTTCGAGGTAGTCAAAGATTGTATATACCCAATGGTACCGCCATTGACTACATTCAGCTCGCCTATAAATATTCTCTATATGAGGACTCCCTTCTGTTCGTCTATAAAGACTCCCTTCCACTATCCTATAAAGACAACAATCAACTCATCTATTAATACTCCCATCACTTCGTATA